TACACTCATACTATCCTTAAGCTTTCAAAACATGGAGGTTTAAGGTTAAACAAGAAAAACAGGCACGTGTTCAGCGTAGCCTCTCCTCCAAAGTACAGTAGTGGCAGAGAGCGAGTGGTGGCCAGATCCCACCATGGACTGACAGAGTGTGGTTGGAATGAGTGTCTTTCATGGCTAGATTTTGTGATGTTGAATGTATTTTTTATTTATAAACTATACCACTTATTAAAAATATAATTTACACATTTTGACTTCCTTTTTTCTGACTCTGAAGCTTTGAAGGGCAGTTAAGATAAATCAGTTCTTAGTGTCAGTTTTGCAGATTAACTAGAATTCCACAGTATGGCTGAAATAGGAGGTTGGAAGACTGGTCATTGCTGTAGGATGTGGACAAGTGTCTAGGTTTGGGGTTTTAATAATAACTGATAGTTCTGCATGACCAGTTTCCACGTGAAGGAGATGACTTGATAAAGAGTCACTACTGAGGTGTATTTCATGAAGGGACCGCTGACAAAGGTGGGGGCAGGAATCAGAGATCATCCCCATGTGGGAAAGCACATCTGGAGCAAGAGCAGACAGTGTCACAGAAACCCATCTAAGCTGCAGCTGTGGGATGTCACCAAAGGGAACTGGCATTGTTGAGGAATGTGCAGGCGCCATCCACACATAATCCAGAGCCCAGCAAGAAAGGCCTGAGCAGACTTCTCCACTCATAGTACAGCTCTGAGCACTTAACTTCCCATTCCTTAATGTTCTAATAAATTAAGATATATGTTTTGAACTTTATTGGAATAAATTTTATTTCCTTTAGTCCAAAACTGTGAGTTGATTCTTTATCTATTGTATGAATCTGTTTTCAATTTTCTCTTTGAAACTCAAAAATTCTTTAAGGATGTGAGGAAATTCTGGAAGAAGGGTATGCTTTTCAAAAATTATTGACGTGGTCAATCCTTGACTTCCCCAATGTTTGTATCTATCTGGGAGCTGGCTTGGTTTATTCTAGGGTAATGCCGGAGCACTAAGCATCCTCCCTTCACTTGGTGTAGCTTTTACTCTCTGATGATCCTTAAAGTCTAATGTGTGACTAGAAAGGAACAATTTAGGTCCTGAGCATAAATTTTAGTTCTGATAATGACATTGGCCATATGAATAAGATCCTAAAAAGCCAGAGTAGCCTCCATGACTCATGTGTAAGCAGTGGAGCAAATGTGGCAGAAAAACTCAAAAGAAAACATTAAGGAAATAAAGCCACAAAATTGAACTGCAAGATACAAACCATAAGCTACCATTCAAGGGTGCATGAAAATAGATTGTATAATTGACACCTGTCAGTATATATTTTTTAAAACAACAAACCAAAGTATGAATTTTCATTTCATACTTTATTGATATGTTGGTTTATCTATTGTCGGCATTAATGTCAACAACTTTCACCATTTCTATTAATTTGATATTTAATTTGTGCTGCTTTCTTTGAGAAATTACCAAACAAAAATATTTGTGTAGAACTTATGGGCTTACAAATAACTTTGTTCACATTATCCCATCTGTTTCTCAAAATATTTCTATTCTGTGGTAAGACTAGCATTTTGAAGTCCATCAAAAGGATAAAGAACTGCACTCCAGTCTGGACGACAGAGTGAGACTCCAACTCAAAAAAAGAAAAGAAAGCAAATTTCAAGGTTACATATCTAGCCTGCCTTACATAGCTAAGACACGAACATGCTGGGACTCAAAACTCATCCCTTTTCATTACGGAACACAAATATCTATCCCCTGTGCATGTCTGTGAGCCTCTGGGGCTCAAAGCCCATTCACTGCTTCAGAGGTGCAACCTAATGATCTTTTTCAGGACCACTTCATTAATAAATGGTCATTAATGGCATATAGGTTCATGGTCTCTCTCCCCGTACCTTATTCTCTCTCTGCACCAAATATAATGCAAATAGCAGGAAGAAGAATGAGACTAGGTACTCTTTGTCCCTTTGTGCCACTACCATTATGATAATCACTACAGCACTGATCATAGGAAGAGTGCCCAATATACCATTTTCAATGCATTTGGTACATATGTTGCTAATTCTGCGGCTCAGAAAATGTCAAGTACCTTGCCTGAGAAGACACTGCTAATGCAGACAAGCTGACAAAGCTGTGACCATCTGTCTCCTACACATATCCTTATATATCTGACAAAGCTTCACTGACTCCCAATACAGAGCTCTCACACTCAACGCTGCCCATCAGGTCTGGGGCAGAGACCCCACACTGTCTGTCCTCTCCCCATTCGCTGCCCTTTAGCTCCATTCATTCCACCCACATCAGCTCCAGTCCTGACACCAAGGAGCAGAACCAGGTTAGGGATGAGGCTGAGGATCAGCCGCAGAGAACAAGCTCTTCTGAAAGAAAGCCAACATGGAGGTCTGAGACAGAGAAAATCAGGGGAGGGACATAGGAAACTGTGGGGGATTCTTCTTGGTCTGAGTGTTGGTTGCCCAAATATATTTAGTGTAGAGCTGTTTATTGAATGTACTCTTGCAAGCTGTATGCTTTTGTCTGTGTGCAGTAGATCAATAGAAAACATATCTAAAATAATAATCTCTGATTTCTTTGTTTTGGGAACCAGGGAACTTGTCTGTTGTCAATAATCTACTTGGTCCAACTATTTCTTTTAATGTTAAAGTAATGCCAACCTTGTTTTATATATATCACACAAGTTAACATTAACAAGTTGAGAAATGTTGACAATGACTCAGAATTTAGTTATCACTTATTTTAATGAGAATCGATACATACCTGAACAAAAATATATGGATACAAGTCTTTCAATATTTAGTAAGCACCTAATTAATGTGAAGTATCATGCAATGTGCCTAAAAATGCCTCCCAATATTTTTAAAGTGTAAAGATTAATTTCTTATAGCAGAAACGCAGAGATCAAGGAAGACCTCACAGGAAATGATGAATCATGAGGTTCAAGATTTTGGAAATGAATGGGTTCCCCAGGAAGATGAGGTGAAACAGTAGATTAGATTGGGCTCTGTTCATAAAAGTAGACACAGGGGCTGCCTTGCTCTTTCCCCACACAGAGGGCCTTCCTTCTTGACCTTCTCTGTCCCTTTTGGCTTCACACAGTCACCTCCACCTTCAGTTTTGTCTGCAGATCACTGGGTTTTCAAAAAGTATCTCATTCATCACCTTTTATACTCCACTAGGTAGAAAGTCAAGTAGAAGTAAGTAAACCTTACATTCTGATTCAAGAAATGCTAATAAAGAAGGGAATGACCCCTAGTTAGGAATATCTGCTTTTAAAAATAAGGGCCGTTAGCCGGGCTCGGTGGCTCAGCCTGTAATCCCGCGCCTTTGGAAGGCTGAGGTGAGTGGATCGCCTGAGCCTGAGGGTTCAAGACTCGCCTGGGCAGTGAGACCTCATCTCTACAATAAATCAAAAAATCAGCCGGGCGTGGTAGCGCATGCCTGTAATTCCAGCTACTCGACAGGCTGAGGAGGAAGGATCGCCGGAGCCCAGTAGGTCGAGGCTGCGGTGGCCGGGAGCAGCCACTACACTCCAGTCTGGGCGACCGAGTGAGACTCCAACTCAAAATAAAAATAAATAAATAAGGGCCGTTTAATCAAAGGAAACTCTGGTCTAATAGTTTCAGCTCGAAAACTACACAGGACTGTGTCATCATGTCTTTGTGTCCTCCTCCTTCTCCTTCATCCCCTTACTGCTTAGCAAAGCAGCAATGACACTCCCACCTGAAGTCTTATTAGAACATAAAGACCTGTGCTTTTATTTATTTTTTTTTTAATTTTTACTTTTTTTAAATTTTTATTTTTTATTTTTATTTTTTGAGTTGGAGTCTCACTCTGTCGCCCAGACTGGGACAGGCGCGGAATTACAGGCTGAGCCACGGAGCCCGGCTTTTATTTTTTATTTATTTATTTATTTTTGAGTTGGAGTCTCGTTCTGTCACCCAGACTGGAGTGCACTGGCCACTCCCGGCCACCGCAGCCTCGACCTGCTGGGCTCCGGCGATCCTTCCGCCTCAGCCTTCCAAGTAGCTGGAACTACAGGCGTGCGCTACCACACCCGGCTGATTTTTGATTTATTGTAGAGATGAGGTCTCGTCAAGTTGCCCAGGTGGGTCTCAAACTTGCGGGCTCAGGCAATCCACTCACCTCGGCCTCCCAAAGTGCTGGGATTACAGGCTGAGTCACCAAGCCTGGCCAGACCTGTGCTTTTAAAAAGTGTATTTGTTTTGTGACATTTTTTTACCCTTTGGCTATCTACTTAAGGCCATGAAGATACAGCTCACGTGAATTATTAGGCATTACTTTCTAAAGAAAAATGCACAGAAATATACTTGGCGGTCCTCAGTTGCCAATAGTTACATGGAATGATTGTTTAAAAAGACTTTGTGTGATAGGGGAGTAGAGCTACTGAATTTGAGACAGTTCGTCTGCTGTTGCCAAAAGCTTGCTGTAGTTGGGTTTGTGGCAAGTTTAAGATGATGGAAAAGAGTGAGACTATCCATCTTCTGCAGAGGCGTCACTGTCAGTCAGAAGTGCCATACAGTCGTGGAGTGCCATCAGCACTGGGCAATGATGTGCCTGACCTCATCATTGTCACCTCATCAGAAGCTTAACATGCTCTCTCATAAATGACCTTCAATGGAATTATTACTGAGAACGTCGGAGTTACTGAAAGAATCACTCCAAAATTTCGAGAACATGTGTTCTTTGTATGGATTGGTTGTTTTGTTTTGTTTTTTAATTACTGAGGAAATTCAGGTTTCAGCCTTAAATTCAGTAGACGAATTTAATATACCGAAACACATTAGCTAAGTGATTGCAGTTGCCTGCTGTGTTTTCTATGGCACATGATAGACCAATGGTGAGCACTCAGCAGTGGGGCTGTATGCCTGGAGGTCTGAGGCTAGCAGGCCAGGGTTCCTCCCTGTGCTGGGCCTTCTTGGATCTTGTCTCTTCCTCCTCTGCAGGTTGAATGCCTTTGAGGTGTTGGCCCTGGATGGAGTCAGCACAGGGATCCTTCAGTTTTACACAGCCCAGGATGGTGCTGACTGGCTGCGGGCGGTCTCAGCAAACATCAGTGATCTGACCCTTCAGAATGTGAGCACAGACCTGAGACATTTGGGTTCTTCCCAGCTAGTTCTGTCTTCCTTCTTCCTCTCTGAATCTCTCCCTCTCTCCCTCCCTTTCTCTTTTTCTCTCCACACACATACACAGAAATACTTGTGAGTACATAATTTTTTATATATTTTATTCCAAATGCATTGGTGTAATGCGATATTTGCATTGGGAAACCTACTTGGCTAAAAGCATAAAGTCATTAAAACATTAGGAAAATTTATTTAAAAAGTATAATTAGGCAAAAATATTGCTTCTCAAATGTTCACCACAGTCCTCTGGAAAAGAAAAAGTGTTCTGTTTCCTTGAGTGATGTGTTTGGTGTTCAAAGTCAACAGGAAATTTTAAAAATTAAAGAAATGAAAAGAGATGGGGTGGTCGTGCATACTCAGTGAAGCATGAAGTTCCCTGAAGCAGCAGCTGGATGTGACGCTGAGTGGATGGTCACAGCCCTGGAGGCCTACGACAGGACCAGCCCTGTCCCAGAGGAAGCTCTTGGCCAGTTTTCTTGTTCTCACTTCATCCCAGTGGACTAGTTCTCCATCTGCACCCTGATCCCTGCTCTGTTCCAGGGTGGCCTGGATGCTAGCAGAGTCTGGGTCCAGCCCGCAAGCCAGCCAGACTCAGGGCCCCCTGCCCCAGCACCTGCCCCATCCACGCCACTGCCCACTTCTTTCTCTTCCTGCTGGCTGCTGTACAGAAGCTGACTGAGCAAGTTCAAATAGTAGGGGATGCAGCAATGTGTGAGATTTTTATTCTAAATAACTCAGGGGCTTCCTTTCTGTAATTATGTAAGGAAGTATCAAAACCTCCTAAGCACTTAGTTTTCAAGTTTGACCTTTTAAATTCCCAAGTTATCTGAATGGATAAAAGGGGAAAGAAAGGATGGTGCCAGATGTGTTTTTGCAGAAATGCTTGTGTCAACGAGAGCCCTTCAATTCTATTTGATTTTCTCACCCCACCCCTTGCTGGAAGAGCAGAGAAGTAGAAAACCCAAAATACTTCAGAATAGAAATGTGGACTCAAAGCCATTCTCCAGCTGTGTAGTGGCAAGCCATGTTATTCTACACCTCTGTTCCCTCACTGGTAACATTGCGGACAATAGCATCTACCTCCCAGGTTGTTGGGAGGACTAAATGAAGCAAAGAACATACAATGTGATCTCTATAGTCACTATTCCAGTAAGGACTTACTGTTACGACATTATACAGGTCAGACATCATTTCCCCACTTTTTCAGATATAAAAATTTAAGCATCAGTTTTCCCATTAGCTTTACTTACATAAAATGCTGATATTTGAAAAAGAATAATTAAAATATAATACTGGGCAACCGTCTTTTGGGCTCCCTACTGCTGGGGGAGCTTTTCTGTCTTCTTGATAAACTCCTACTTTCTCACCAAAAAAAAATGTGATATTAAAGTGAGGAGAAGTGCTGCCATGCTTGGTTTTACTTTGGTTTGGTTTTCAGAAAAGAAATGTATTACTGGCCGGGTTCGGTGGCTCAGCCTGTAATCCCACGCCTTGGGAGGCCGAGGTGAGTGGATTGCCTGAGCCCGAGGGTTCGAGACCCGCTTGGGCAAATTGGCGAGGCCTCATCTCTACAATAAATCCAAAAAATTAGCCGGGCGTGGCTGTGTGGGCCTGTAGTTCTAGTTACTTGGAAAGCTGAGGCGGAAGGATCGCCGGAGCCCAGCAGGTGGAGGCTGCAGTGGCCGGAAGCAGCCACTGCACTCCAGTCTGAGTGACAGAGTGAGACTCCAACTAAAAAAAAAAAAAAAAGAAAGAAAGAAATGCATCATCAAATAAATCCATTTCCGGGGCAATTTGTGTGGCTAATTTCAGCTGTCAGTGAGACAGGTTGAAAATTCTGGCAAGAAAATACTTGTGGTACTGACTTCTTGCACCCTCTCTCTCTGCAGATGAAAATGGCGAATAAATGCTGTTCTCCTTGTGACCAGGTAGGATCCGTATTTTTGACTTCAAAATATAACTGAACTCCAAAGCAACCTCTTTCTTATTTTGAAATTTAATTTGAAAATTTTGGCAGGAAAACATTTGCCCATTTCAGACTGCAATTTGGTGGTCTCTGCCCTCTCCATGGGAAGGAACTCTATAAAACTGTTCATTTACAATGGAAATAGTACATGGGTGATCGTTCTGATCTCCTGTGTGCCATATATGGGTGACCTACCTACTGGCTGTTATATTTTGCAAAGAAACATGATTTTTAAACAATGATGTAGTTAAGACTGCTGAAGCTGAGAGGGGTCTTATCATGAGGACATACCTGTGTAATTTGAAATCTTTTAAGTATTGTGTTATTTTCGTAGATGAAATTCTTTATTGGAAAACTGCATTCTTAGGAGGACTTTGACCACAAGGTGGGCAGGATCCCACCTGTCAAAACACCTTTTCCCCACATTCAGGCAATTTGTTCATCTCGAGCCCCGTGTTCTGATCTTGTCCTACAATCAGGAGGATAGCTACCTTTTTAGTCACCATCAACTATTAATATGCCTAATGTTCTAATTCAAGGACTGCTCATTTTCCTGGGTCAATGAGGGCCTAGAGAAATTCTATTATAAACAAGTTGTTTAAATATCGGGCAAGTAAACTTTTAAGCCACAATGTTATTCTTGTATTTTCTTTATAGTAAACTCACAGTTTAAACTGTAATGCACGTGTAGACTTTTTATTTATAGTTCATTAGTTTTCTTGTTTATATCTATTATAGGTTTAAGGCAGCATGCATTGTAAATTAAGAAAACTGAAAAAGCATGTTCAGTTTGCTTTAAAGAGTTCATATAAATACATTTGTTATACAACTCACATTTCTCTGAAAAAGTAACTTTTAAATAGTGCTTAGCAATCATACTTGAATTAAGACGGAAGACATTCAGAAGAGAGATCCCTGACAATAAAATGTTTACTGAAAAGGGCAGGAAATTAGGGTTATGTTTTAAATTAAATCCCTCTAGTTAATGTTTTTAAATTAAAAAAGAAAAAGCACTAGGAATTGTTCTTCTTTTATATTTATTTTGTTATTTTTCTAAATTTATCAATACCTATGTTTATTTTACATAGCTAAATGAGAATGGTTAACTATTTTATGTTTAGTATTTTCATGAATTTCTTCAAATTAATATAGGATTTGTTTCATATTTTTATACATAAAATATTATTTTCCTGCTATCCTCTGTGTTTTTGAAACAAAAATTCTCAAACATTTCCACTAAGTATATACCACTCTATGATTCACACATGAAACATATTTTCTCTTTATTTATCAAGACTGGTGGGATAATAGGCCACATTGGTGCTGTTGTCTTCATGAATAATTTACTATTTTGAAATTTGATTTTTATTAGCACAATTAAAATTAGCAAAATGTCTCATGAGAGTAAGGATAACAGTCCTCTACTGCATACCCTGATTAGCTCTTGTAACCATACAAACCAGTTTTTTCAGTTAAATGGGGAAGCCATCTTGTGGAGAACGTGACACTGGAGTGCACAGCGTTCATGAACTTGAGCTTTGTGTATTTTAAAGAAGACTTTCTATTTTCATAAGTGTACTGGAATTACTGCTCATGTTGGAAAGAGCACTATTCTGGGAATAATGTATGTAAAGAAAAAGATAGTTGTGTAGTTATCATCTGATGGATGTTTAACTAATTATCTTGACTGATTTGGGTGAAGAGAAAAGGACTTTCCTATAGAAATGGCATCAGAAAAGATAAACGAAAATATACTTCTTTATTATAATGGCTAAATCATATTGATTTAATTAAAGTGATACAATCAGGTAGGTGTATCTAACAGTGTAATATGCATTTCTTGGAACATGTAATAAGCCATTAGAAAATTCATATTGTAAAAGATAAAATTACCCTCTTTGAAAATTATTTATGAACTTCATATACCTAAAAAAGTTTCATAAAGCAGCCAATGTTTCCAAAAATAGCAAAGCTATAACTTATTATTTGCTAATTATTCTAGGCATAATTCAATTACATATGGGATTTAATGAAGTTCACATCCAACTAATAGATATTTTAGATGATTAACAACCTGAATCATCGCTATCTTGGCCAGAACAATGGCTCTTTATCATTCCTCACTGTATAATTTTCCTTGAACTATGTGCCAAACACTGGGTCAACCAGATATGGAAATGAAAAGTGACAACCAAACACCATCCCAGTCCTGGAGGAGAAGAGAGGACATTGGGGGAAAAAGAGGGTACAGCACGCTCCATCCGGCGCTCTGGGTGTCTGGGTGCTTGCATGTCCCACCCAAAACTGAGGCTTCATGGAAAGAGTCACTCATGCTGAATGGGAAGGAAATGGCAATTCTTTCCCTTGACTAAATTATTCCCCTAAAAGATGGCTTGCTGCTGCCTTACTACACAAAGAATCCCAAGTTCTCCATTTCTGCCAAGAATAAAAAATTGTAGATTTTTAGCTTTTGACTCACCCTTGAGCTACCTATAATATAAATCTCTCTCTCTCTCGTGCACACACACACACACACACGCGCGTGCACACACACGTACACACACGTGCACACACACACACACACACAGACACATGGTCTTTGGGTATATGACTTAACCAATAAAGGAAAAAACCCAACAGAGTTTGCTCTCCCTACAGGCAAAAAAATAAAAGTCTTTAATCTTCCTACTGTGTATGAATTTAATTAGGCACAAATTCAAGAGATCTCATTAAGATTTCTCACCAGAGAAAATATCTGTTTTACGAACTTAAAGACACCTTAAGTCACGTTGCCAGAGACCTGCAGAGGGGGGTTTGGATTCCACTACCTAGTTGTTTCTTCCTGGATTGGGATTATTTTTTGTCCCCTCCCCCTTTTAATTTGGTGGTGGAACAAGGAACTTGGTACCACTCCTGGTAATAAGTATAAGATCAAACCAGATTTTAGAACTTGCTGCTGGCTCTTAAAAGTCTATAATAATTTAGACTTCTAATAGTTTCTCCCATTTCCTAGAAATTCTGTAACTATACTTAGGTGGTGGTTAGTGAAAGAAAGGCCTTCCACTCAGACATCCTGACAAGTCCAATAAGCATTCCTGTGCCTGCTGCAATTAAACAACTGCTGACTGCTCATAAGGACACAGATTAGGATCTTCGTGACCAGAATTGGTCTGTGAGATCTCATCAGATACTCAGTGTCTCTTAAGGACCTTCAGCAGTATGCTCCGGTATGAATATAAGATAACCAGGGCAACTTGCTCAATGCGCTATGTCCAGTCTTCACAGAATGGAGGCTTAGCTCTTTCTGAACAAACTATAGCCATCATATTATTTTCCTTATTGTGTGAAAGTTGCTGTGGTAGCAATCTATTGTTTTTAGTAACTTTCAAATTAATCCTATCTTTTTTCTTTTTTTTTGAGTTGGAGTCTCACTCTGTCACCCAGGTTGGAGTGCAGTGGCACACTCACTGCCACCCCAGTGTCAACCTGCTGGGCTCTGGTAATCCTTCCACTTCAGCCTTCCAAGCAGCCAGAACTACAATCACACACACCACCCACCATGGCTGGCTAATTTTTTTTTTTTAATTGTAGAGAGGAGGTCTCATCAAGTTGCCCAGGCTGGTCTCAAATCCACAGGCTCAGACAATCTACTAACCTTGCCCCCCCCCAAGTGCTGGGATTACAGGCTAAACTACCAAGCCCAGCCTTAATCCTATCTTAAACTATATAAATCATTGCACTCATGGAGTGGTGAGTTGGAATTAAGTAATCGCACATTAAATTCCTATTAATTTTAGAACATCAACCATCTGCTTAATTAGCTAGAAAAATGCATCTTTTTTTTTTCAAAAATGATAGGTGAGCCCTCTTGCAATTTGCAGCATTATAAGCAACAAAAACATATCTATATGACCCAACTAGACAAAAGGGAAAACATCAATTAGTCAGATATTTTACAATAATATGTAAAATATGTTTGACTTCCAATTCAGAAGACATTCAAGGAGTAAATTACATGGTAGTGGTTTTTGCAAAACATTCATACTGTCTGAAGTGTCACCTACCTGCTAGAACTTTGTGAGGGGATTTCCCCTGGAAAATTCTCACACTTATGTGAGTTAGGTAATTTGAGCTACATTTTATGGTAAAAAATGGAAAGTTCAGCAACATTAAACTTGAAAGATCCAATGTGAAATACAATTGTCTTACAAACTTGTAAAATTAAACTGTAACTGTAACAAAAAACAATCACATTGATATGGTTCCAGAGTCTTCATGGGACACAAGTAAACCCATAAGGATATTACAAGTTCATGATCCACCGGAATATTTGATTTACTTTAAAAAGTTCTGTATATCTAGAACAGCATGGTAGACAAAATTGAAACTGTGATGCATTAGATTATTTGTCTCAACCCTCAAAGCAATAATGATGTTAACTGTTAGCTATGTGACCCCTCTCTGCAGAACAATACTCCTTAATTTTCTCTTTCCATCACTAGAAACACTGTAGAAATGAATTTTTTAAACCTTTCATCTAGCATCTTGACTTCCCAGGAAATCTTTCATCAAGCTTAAGAATGAAAACTGTCAGTGGTTTATCAAGCAAGAAACTGAAACAGGAAATGCCCTCCCTGGAGCCTGTGCTGGTTGTTACTAAACTCACCCAGGTAGCTCCCACCAAGGACACCTTGCATGTACACAGGGCTCACAGACCCAGGGTGCCTGGGTCCCAGGCTGGTTCCCATCTTGAAGTTATTCATAGGTCAGTGTCATTGATGAAGTAGCTGAGATCTCTGCGATAATTTATTTCTAATTTAAAAAATTTTTCAAGTTGTTTTAAATTTGTACTTGTAGGAATATGTAAATTAATTCGTTTCCCTTGAAGTGGCAAAATTGGGAAATGAGTAAATTATAAATGAAATTACTTCTACCACTTGCTGCAAAATATGTGCCACTTTAAAAAGTTAGGTAAGACAAGGATTTTTCTTAATATTAGTTTGAATTCTTGCACTGAATTCCTAAATTGTTTTACTATTTCCATTATGTTTTTGAATCATATTCTGACTTTTATAGTTTGCATTTCATACCATGAGATTTAAAATATCCAATGCTATTTGTAAGAATCTAATATTATTGCATTTATTTTCACTATTGTTAGGAAGTTAAACTGTAAAGAAAAGCAATCATTTTTTACAGATGCCAACTTACATGTTTACTATAGAAATGGAAAATATAATTAGTTGCTTTATAACTTCATAGAAAAATCTGAAATATTAACACCTAATAAAGTGTAATTCGATACCACATTTTTAACCAGAAACTTTAATGCAGCTGAGAAGTCCAGCACTGCCCAAAACTGAAAGTATATAGAAGTGTATATATAAAGCCTGGGACAACACAGAATTGGACTTCTAACCAAGGTGTTATTTATTATGTCTACTTGACTTGGAAATTGATCTGGACATCTCCAAATTTCCTCAATCTACTGATTTTAAGTGTGGAAAGTAGTAGAAACATATTTTGTTCAATGTGTTTAACTTTCTGCTCCTGTGACTGTATGCTCTTATTAAGGCTTGGTTTTTAATTTTCAAAGGTTTCCCTCTGCAGGTTGCGCATATGGGGTGGGTAAATGAGAAACTCCAAGGAGCCGACTCCTCTCAAGCCTTCAGACCTAAGTTTCTTGCACTGAAGGGCTCCTCTTTCTACGTTTTCAGCACTCCTCCGGTAAGGATTCCTGTGAAATTCCATGTGGGGTGTGAGGGTTGTTGGTGAGGCTATATTCCCATAAGAGAAGCAGCAGTTAAATCTGGTGTTTGGAAGAAGACAAAGACAGGAGTGCGTGGGACAGGACAGCATCCATAAGGATGCTGCTTATGGATTCACTGCCTGTCTCCTGCTCTAAATTCATACATTAATTCATTTTTTCAACTCAAATAGCTATTAAGATATTAAATAGTTTTCCTGCTTAAAATATCAACTAATTTGGAGGGAGGGATGTAGAAGGCTCTATAGCTTAGAGCATCAATTATCCCGTGTAGTTGAAGAATTCCAAAAACAAACAGAACACTTCTCTATAGATCTTTCCAATTCAATGACTGAATAATAAAGTTTAAAAAGGTATTATTTCCTTTATATCTTCCAAGTTTTACTAAATTAAACTATATTATGTAGTTCCTAATATAAATTTAATGCTGAATGCTGTGGTTCTGCAATTTTATTTTTCAGTTTCCTCCCAAACTAGCCAAATTTAATGCAAATAACTTTGCCAGGAAGTTTATCAATTAAAACAATGTTAGTATTGGGGAGTCTGAACATTAAAAATACAAGCAAACAAACAAACAAAAAATCTGGCAGTTTCACACACCTAAAAACTTTATTTTTTTAAATTTTAAAGATGTCGGGAAGGTGGGGTACACCTCATCAACAAGGGTACCTGCACAGTGAATATTTGTATACCTAACCCTGAATTGTACCCCACAATTTAAAAATAAAATAAAATTAAATTAAATTTTAAAAAAGATGTGGGGTACAATTTAGGATTAGGTATGCAAATGTTCATTATGCAGGTACCCTTGTAGATGAGGTGTGCCCATCCTTACCCTGGCAATTTCCCTCAACTACCAATCCCACCCCCTCCCCTGACAGTTTCCCACTACTGTCATTTCCTTTCTTAGGTATTATGATAATTGTTCAAGGTCCACTTATGAGTGAGAACATATGGTACTCTTTTCTTTGTTTCTGTGATAGATCACCGAGTATGATAGACTCTAAATCCATCCAAGTTGCTGTGAAATCCATATGTTTGTCCTTCCTTATGGCTGCATAAGGGTCCATTTTGTATATGTACCACATTTTTTAAATCCAGTCCAGCTTCGATGGGCAGCATGGTTGGTTCCTTATTTTTGGTATTGTGAATAGAGCTACAACAAACATGGGTGTGCAGGTATCTTTCGTAGAATGATTTGAGTTCCTCTGGGTATATTCCCAATGGGGGATTGCTGGGTCATATGAAAGATCAATTTCTAGTTCTTTCAAAAATCTCCACACTGTCTTCCAAACAGGTTGCAGTAGTTTGCATTCCCACCAGCAGTGCAGAAGCATTCCTTTTTCTCTGCATCCTTGCCAACATCTGTTGTTTTTTGTTTTATCAATGATGACCATTCTTACTGGGGTTAGGTGGTATCTCAGTGTGGTTTTGATTTGCATTTGTCTGATGATGAGTGATATTGGGCATTTTTTCATGTTTGTTGGTTATTTGTATATCTTTGTTTGAGAGATGTCTGTTCATGTCATTTGCCCACTTTTAATGGGGTTGTTTGCTTTTTCCTTGCTGATTTCTTTGAGTTCTTTGTAGATACTGAATATTAGTTCTTTGTCAGATGTAGAATTCCGAATATATTCTCCCATTCTGTAGGTTGCCTATTTGCTCATTTGATTTCTTTTGCTGCCCGTATATCTTCTTTTGAGAAGTGTCTATTCATGTCTTTTGCCCACTTTTTAATGGGGCTGTTTGTTTTTTTCATTTGGTGCATTTAAGTTCCTTGTAGATCCTAGGTGTTAGGCCTTTGTCAGATATACAGTTAGCAAATATTTTTTCCCATTCTGTGGGCTGTCTCCCTACTCTCTTGATGGTTTCTTTTGCTTTGCAGAAGCTTGTTAGTTTGATGAGGTCTCACTTGTCTATCTTATTTCTTAAAGTATGGGCATTTAGGGTTCTGAATAGGAATTTGTTTCCAGTTCCAATTTCCATAAGGATATCTCCTGCATTTTCTAAGATTCTTATAGTTTGAGGTTTTATGTTTAAGTCTTTCGTCCATTTAGAGTTAATTTTTCTGTATGGTGAAAAGTAGGGGTCTTGTTTCAATCTTCTGCATGTGATCAGCCAGTTTTCCCAGCATCATTTACTGAATAGGTTCTCCTCTCCCCAGTGGTTGTTTTTGGAGGCTTTGTCAAGATGAGTTGTTTGAGAAATTGAGACTTTGTTTCAGTATGTCTATCCTGTTCCACTGGTCTATGTGCCTGTTCTTGTACCAATACCAGGCTGATTTGATTACTGTAGTCTTATAGTGAAGTTTGAAGTCTGGAAGAGTAATACCTCCTGCTGTGTTTCTTTTGCTAAGGATTGTTTCAGCTATTTGTGGCCGTTTATGTTTCCATATGAATTTCTGTATTGTCATTTCCAGGTCTGAGAAGAATTGTTGGTAATTTAATGGTTATTGTGTTGAAACTGTAGATCTCTTTTGGGAAGATGGGTATCTTAACAATGTTGATTCTTCTTATCCATGAGCATGGACTATTTTTCCATTTGTTTGTGTCTTCTTGGATTCCTGTGAGTAGTATTTTGTAGTTCTCATTGTAAAGGTCTTTCACTTCTCTGGTTAGGAAGATGTTGAAGTATTTCACATTTTTTGTGGCTATTGTGAATGGGATTGTGCTTTTAATTTGGGTTTCTGCCTGCTTGCTGTTGGTGTATAGAAATGCAACTGACTTTTGCACATTTATTGTACACTGAGACTTTGCCAAAGTCCTTTATCAGTGAAAGCAGGTTTTTGACTGATTCTCTTGGATTTTCAAGGTATAGGACCATATCATCAGCAAAGACGGATGACTTGACTTCCTCTTTCCCTATTTGGATACTCCGGATTTCCTTCTCTTGTCTAATTGCCCGAGCTAGGACTTCCAACACAATATTGAACAAGAGAGGTGAGAGTGGGCAGCCTTGTCTTGTTCCAATTTTTAGGGGAAATTTTTCCAGGTTTGTTCATTTAGCAATATGTTAGCTGTTAGCTGTGGGTTTATTGTAGATGACACTTACTATTTTGAGGTATGTTCCTTCTATGCCTAGTTGTTTGAGGGTTTTTATCAAGAAGGGATGCTGGATTTTATCAAAAGCTTTTTCTGCATCTAATGATATAATCATGTGGTTCTTGTTTTTACATTTGTTGATGTGTTTAATTATATTTATGGTCTTGCTAATGTTTAACCAGCCCTACATCCTGGGATGAAGCCTACTTGGTCATGGTGGATGATTTTTGAGATGTGTTTTTGGATCTGATTTGCTAGACTCTTATTGAGGATTTTTGCATCTATATTTATAAGGGATGTTGGCCAGTCGTTCTCTTTTTTTGTTGGATCTTTACCCGGTTTGAGTATCAGTCAGATGTTAGCTTCGTAAAATGATTTGGGGAGAATTCCATCTTTCTCAATTGCCTGGAATACTTTCAGTGTGATTGGTATCAGCTCCTCCTTGTATATTTTGTAGAATTCTGCTGGAAAGCCATCTGGTGTAGGGCTTTTTTTTATTGTAGGAAGTTTTCCTCTGACAGAATCAATTACCTGGGTTGTTACTGTTCTATATTGTGTCTCAATATCTTCTTGTTTCAACCTGAGGAAGTCATGTGATGTCAGAAAGTCCTCCATTTCATTTAGGTTATCAAGTTTGCTTCCATATAGGTGTACATAGTAATCACTGATAATCTTTTGTATATCTTTGGGGTCAGTTGTGATTCGATCTGTTTTATTTCTTATTCTGTTTATTTGGGATTTTTTCTCTCTTTTTCTTGGTCATTCTGGCTAGGAGTCTATCAATCTTGTTAATTCTTTCAAAGAAACAACTTTTTTGTTGTTGATGTTTTCTATGATATTTTTGTCTCCTATGTTCTGATTTGGGGCTCTTATTTTGATGATTTGGATTCTTCTATTACAGTTGGGGTTTTGGGGGTTTCTCTTTCCAGCTCCCTTAGATGATTTGTTAGGCTCTTCACTTGTGATCTTTTTGTTTTCTTGATGTGTGCTCATAGAGTTATAAATTCCCCTCTTAGAACTCTTTTCATGGCATCCCAGAGGTTTTGATAAGATGTTTCTTCATTTTCATTTGTTTCCAGGAATCTTTTAATTTCTGCTTTGATTTCA